AGACTTCTACATTTTCAGACACAATTTGGAACGAACTGTGAACACCCCATCTATCAAATTTCAATCGTCCGAATATCCGAGGTTGCTAGTTTCAGTTCCGGAAGCATTAACTGTTATGTACTTAGCCTAAAACTATGCTATCAAATTTAACATNACGATTTTGCGACGACTGCTAGAAAGGGGTGCTCACAGTTTGATGCTAAAGATGTCTCAAAATGTAGACTTCTACATTTTCAGACACAATTTGGAACGAACTGTGAACACCCCATCTATCAAATTTCAATCGTCCGAATATCCGAGGTTGCTAGTTTCAGTTCCGGAAGCATTAACTGTTATGTACTTAGCCTAAAACTATGCTATCAAATTTAACATTTCCGCAATTTACCAAACAGTCTCGCATATTAGGGGCGTTTGCCTAATTGTATTGGCTAGANTTTCAGACACAATTTGGAACGAACTGTGAACACCCCATCTATCAAATTTCAATCGTCCGAATATCCGAGGTTGCTAGTTTCAGTTCCGGAAGCATTAACTGTTATGTACTTAGCCTAAAACTATGCTATCAAATTTAACATTTCCGCAATTTACCAAACAGTCTCGCATATTAGGGGCGTTTGCCTAATTCTAGCCAATACGTGGTATCAGNAAGAAGAAATGTCTGGCAACACCAGCAAAGTTTTGAGACGATTTTGCGACGACTGCTAGAAAGGGGTGCTCACAGTTTGATGCTAAAGATGTCTCAAAATGTAGACTTCTACATTTTCAGACACAATTTGGAACGAACTGTGAACACCCCATCTATCAAATTTCAATCGTCCGAATATCCGAGGTTGCTAGTTTCAGTTCCGGAAGCATTAACTGTTATGTACTTAGCCTAAAACTATGCTATCAAATTTAACATTTCCGCAATTTACCAAACAGTCTCGCATATTAGGGGCGTTTGCCTAATTGTATTGGCTAGAATTTTTTGTGAAATCTACTAAAACGTCTTTATATAAACGTCAGTGATGTAAATAAAAAGTAATACATTTTCCATTCCAAATATTATAAACGACTGTAAAGTGGGCTTATATATCCTTTTCTATTTTCGTTCGCTTATAGGTATGATCCGTGGTACAATTATTGTACCATGGGTATGATCGCAACCAAGGCGAATTGTATGTCAAAATGATGTGTTTGTTGTAAACAAGGCGAATTCATTTTACAACAAACGCATNAACCAAGGCGAATTTATACAAGGTGGTGTTGATGGCGAATTAAATTTTCGGCACGGTACTACGGTATGTCAAAATGATGTGTTTGTTGTAAACAAGGCGAATTCATTTTACAACAAACGCATAATTTTGACATTAAGACGTACATCGGGGAAAATCTAAATTCGCCATCAAACCACCTTGTATAAATTCGCCTTGATCGCATCCTTATTTTTTTCTTCTGCACTAATTTCNTAATTTTGACATTAAGACGTACATCGGGGAAAATCTAAATTCGCCATCAACACCACCTTGTATTAATTCGCCTTGATCGCAACCTTATTTTTTCTTCTGCACTAATTTCTTATGGTCTGATTATGCATACTTCGCACAACCATTTATACCATTTTTTATATAGTGCAATAAAAATTTATCTTAAGAATATGTGAAGCAAAATCTAAACTCAACTGATCGTTAAGTTATTAAGTAAGTTCTTAGTATTAAGTATTAGGTAAGTTCTACTAATCTCTGGGTAATGGAATAAATACAAAATACATACAAAGTACATACGAAATTACAATTTGAAGTTTATGCGAAGTTGTGCGAAGTATGCATGATCAGACCATTAGAAACACAGCACTGGTTATATTGTGAATGCCACACTAGTTATAAAGAAGAACAAGAAGCCGCAAAAGTTCTTACCGTCGATTGTGTGCACCAAATGTTAGAAAATTAGATAGTAATATAATTTAGTAATCAAATAAAAACTGCAACAAAAATGGATATGCAGAAGTATACCTTACAATCAATACGACAAGATTTGATTGATAGCAACTTGCAAGTCAAGGCAATAATACAGGTAAATATGATCGTACCTGGCGCATATCGAATTAACCAATGTCAATATTGTTTTTAAGGATATATTGACATATCGTGGTAATATCCATGAGCTGGAGGCGTTAAACGAGGCTGGACGTGCTAAATTAGCGGCATTGCGTAAGAGCATTCAACATCTAGATGATTGGGCCCGTGACACCGGTGATGCCGAGCTGAACAAAGAGGTGGATTCCCATAGAGATCAATTTTCGCAAACTCTGCAAGCATTTCGCAAAGCCAATATAGCGACACGTATTGAAATCGAGAAGGCGAATCGCGAGGAGTTAATGGCTATAACAGGTGAAAGCGATTTACGGCAACGATCCACCGCTGCAGGATCACATCACAATCGTGGTAGTCTTGTTTCACAAGAGAACAATGTAACTGAGAAAATGCTTGCCATATCGCGTCACCTGTCGGAAACAACCCAGAAAAGTGCCATTACACTGGAAACTTTGTTAGCGTCATCACAAAACGTAGAAGCGACACGTGATGAACTACACAACACAGCCGGTTCGATTTCACAGTCAGGGAAATTATTGAAGAAATATGGACGAAGGGAGTGTACGGATAAGATGTTGCTCTTCTTTGCTTTTGCATTTTTCTTAGCTTGTGTANGTTCGATTTCACAGTCAGGGAAATTATTGAAGAAATATGGACGAAGGGAGTGTACGGATAAGATGTTGCTCTTCTTCGCTTTTGCATTTTTCTTAGCTTGTGTCTTTTATATTGTGCAAAAACGACTGTTCTAGACGAGATATTTGTTTGGCATTGTAGAAGGAGTGCAGAACATTTAAACGTTTGTTTAGGGAATTTACATTTAAGAAAATGTATAGTAGAGGACATACTCATAGTTAGTTNTTGTTTAGGGAATTTACATTTAAGAAAATGTATAGTAGAGGACATACTCACATAGTTAGTCTGCGGTGAAGCTATTCTAAATGGATAAGGACTCAAGCCAAACCTTTATTTAATATCATTTATCTTTAATGTTTTATGCAGTTAACTAGAGAACTTATAAGAGCTGTTATGCGCATTTAAGCTTGATTTAGTTATATTTAAATGTTAATAATAATGATAAGAACTTGCACATTTTTAAATTAGTTTTTTCCAATTTTATTCAGATTTTTTATTTTCTGCGCAAAGATTTTAAATGTAAAATAATTATAAGAAGCCAATAGATGTACAATGAAAACAACGGGCGGCAAGCACTCAAAAACATAAAATGACAAAATACACTTGTTCCAAATATGTATATCCAAACTTAAAATAAAATTATAAGATACCTAATGTAAACACAAACTAAAATCTTTAAACTATCCATCCAATATTAATATGGACACTTTGGTACATTTCCCGGATTTGTGAATGCATTCGTATTCACTATGCGGCATATGTCCTTATAGGACCTCCCATGTTCAGAGTGGCTCTGTTGCACCGAGCGTTGATGTTGGTAACCACCAGCGTTATAACTTCCGTAGTAGATTGATGGAACGGGATATAAATATGGATTGAAGTTAACTGAATAATGTTGTGGCGATGCTAATAAATCACCAAAAAGTCTATGAAATACTGGGCCAGAGGTAACTGAAGCCACGGTCAGCCATGCTAGTTCAAAAAATAAAAATATTTGCATTTCTAGCCCTATTAAAATGATTTATTGCTATAGCTACGAAGTACGATTGCAAACTGTATGAATTCAGTCTTTATTGATTAATAAAGATGATGCATCAATAGATTATAACGAATATGCAATTTTGAATTGATGCAATAAAAATCGGTAATGAGTAAACATATATATATATATATATATATGCATATAGGTATATATGTACGTGTATCAACACTTACATATGTATAGGGCTCGGAATCTCTGGCATTAAAAAATCGAAAATAAGCGCATGTAATATGCATCAAAATTCAAAAATTTGCGCTATAAACAAGTAAAATATGAAATTAAAAATATTTTCCTAATATTCTATTGCCGGTACAAAAATAAATAACAAATGTTTTTTAACAGGAATATTAACAAAACAATTAACTTCAAAATACAAGACATATTTATGCATAAAATTAGTTTATAATTTAGCAGACAGCCACAATCTTGTGGAATTAGAGACATTGACGGTTTAATAGTGGTTCAGATGATAGTTGGGTGGTTTAAGTGGTTGACAAGGTATTAGTAAATTTGCCATTTTGATGCCACAACTCGTTTAACCTACAGCCATTTGACGGCTTTAACACTATTGCTCTAAAATATACAAAAAAAAGCTTGCATAATAAGTAGCCTCTGAGTTTTCTTTCTCGCTAAGGTCCATCATTATTACAGGTAGTTTGGCAGTCTTGCTTGCAACATTTTTCATACAAAAAATGGGAGATTAAAAGGGCTTCGTCGATTCGACGAAGATTACCTTTAAAGTATGTAAAATAACGTTACCCTTTAAGGGTTAATGAATTTCAGTATGTGATACAGAGCGAGCTGCACTCTAAAACATTCTGCAGGAATGGCTTTCCGAGTGTCTTAAGCCACATCCTTGCGAAGGCTGCAGTGTAATTCTGACAATCACTAGGCTAAATTTTCATCGCCTAGATTCTCTAAATGAAAATCAGGGGGGCCAAAAAGCATGCAAATGGCAGGTAACTAGATGTTGCATGTTGTTAGGCAGGGCTGCTATTATTTCGGAGATTGTACGCATTGCACTTCGATTTCCCATAAGAATAACACAGGAAAAATTGTTTTTCTTTTACTTCTGGTTTTTATATATAACGAACGATACATTGTACTGAGTCTAGTTAATTGAACGCCCTAGAAACAAAGACCGAAGTCATTTTTCGATAAGTCAACTGGGTCAAAAGTTATTCTTGACCTCGAATAACTTTTGCGTGGCTACCCGAGAAGATATTCAGACGAATATTTGGAAAAAAAATTATGGGTATTTTTTTGTAAAGAAATTGTGCACTAAATTTAAATGGTTGTAAATCAAAAAAAGCAGAAATATGTAAAAACTATATGCGTATATTGTAAAATATACTAAAATATGCGCAGTAGATATGCAGAAACAGGTATTTTTGCAATATATGCGAAACTATGCATTTACTGCAAAATATGCACTAACGATAAAACCATGCATTTGCATGCGATTCCGATCCCTACTTTAGTACATATATGCATATACACATATTCAAACGTTTGTACATTTATATTATGCAGTATGCGTTAATGTGTTGGATGAAACTCTATTGTGCTTATCAGTTTGATCTTGAATGAATTCCTATAAACCTTGAGTTAAACTTACCTAATCTTGGATTCTACGACCAAGGCATTCATTTCTAGTAAATTGAACGCAGCCTAACATGAGCGCACGAACCCTGATGTGGAAGGGGTCCAAAATGGCAAACAAGATCGCTGTAACTGCCATCTTCGGTAGTGTACATTAATTTTTGATATTTTTGACAGCTGTCAGATGTCACTTTTTGATCGGTTAGCAGCTAACCGGTGGCCATCGCCTGGTAAACTTAATCGGTTGTTAACCGACGAATTTGTGCTAATCGGGCATTGAAAAAACGCCTTTTCACCAAAACACCGATTAACCCCCGTTTAGGCACTAATCAGTCTTTAAGAAACCGGCCCTAAATCTACTACTGTGTGAAAGATGTGTCACGTACACGTACCTGCATATCCGCCTTTTTTTCTGCCATCAATGTGGTTACCCATGCTAGCTCAGCATATGTTATTGGCGCGGTTCTCAACCCTTGGCCACATTGAGGCGAGGCGGATGTTCCAATCGTCATCTGCACATATCGTCTCACAGGAAGCCCACCCATCCTTGGACCGCTCTTTCCGGTTGTTCACTTCCGGCGGTTCCCCTTTTTGGTATTACTCCAATCACTTCATTCAATTTCTACCCTTCGTCATCTTCCCCTCCCTCCTATATCAATTTAGCCAGTCATTTAGGGCTCCTTTTATCAGTTTCAAATTATAACACAATATTTATTACATAACATTTCAAAAACTACACAGTTTATAATATACGCAAATACTTACATACTACACGAATCTCGACTGGTATTTCCTATCGCACAAAAAAAAAACCAAACATGAAAGCGCAACTATGGCGCTGCAACATCCACAGGAAACTCTAACAGCCTACCTAAAAGAGCTCTCTTAAGCAGATATATATTTATGGTTTTCCGGGAGCCGGATCTTCTCAGCTCCAAAAAAAAAATTCTTTAAAATTGGTATTGTTGGTTTGGCGTTTTCCTGGTTTGACGGGACACCGACAAAAATTACACCCGAATTAAAAGTGAATAACTTGGAAACAGAAAATGTGTTAAAAAGAATATTAATATCTTAAAGCTATTGCCTTGACTCCGCCCCTGGATTTCCTCGAGATCGTTTCCCTGCTGCAGTTTTATGGTCAAAAGCTTCACACAATGTTAATTAACATAGTGGTTGTGGCACATGCTGACCGACTCAACGGGTGACACCAATAAAATTTCCTGACGCTATGGCGATATGGGGCATTCCCTCTCAACACATTCGTAAAAG